TCATTTTTCGAGAATCTTTTTAGTCATTGAATTTTGTCATGCTTTTTCTCCGCTTAAAAAGTAAGAATTAAAAATAAAGGTCTCTGTACTACACACTCTATCCTGACATGTTCGTTCAAACAAAAAAAGAGATTAAATATATATAGAATGACCATGAATAGAGATATTTGATTTGCCAAGTGAGTTATTTTTGGTCCTTATTTGGTGTATGTCACTGCGCCAAGCGTCATGATACTGGACTGAAAATTTTTTTCATAGCCTCTCTACTACAGTTCCAAAATATCGTTTAAATATCAGGCGATGTGATTACGCTTGGCACGAAATTGGTTTTTTGAATTGGAGGCCTTAAAACACGATACTGATATTTGACAATCGTTTCAGACTTAAGAAGACTTCTCCTTTGTTCAAGAGAGAACATTCAAGTTTTTCATATTTTGTGGAACATGATCTAAAAAGAGTATTGAAACGAACGCGTTAGAAACCATTCATTTCACATTTGTAACCTCTATGTCTGATTGTTTTAGTTCAGACGGAATGAATAAATTATTGCAATAAATTAAGAATATGTAATTTTTCGTATTATAGGAAAAACAACCTAATGTAATCAACATAGATACAGAATATATCATTATTATAGTATCCGTGATTGTTCGTGACAAAATTTCAGACATGGTCACGCGAGGTACTATTCATCATAGATCGTTATATATACTGTGAATATACTAACAAAGTTCATACCCATCGCATTGAAATTGTCTAAGTTTAACGATAAATTGTGATACTTCAAAAAACAACGACGTAAAAATCATCAATATAAAAGTTATTCTTAAATTTTTTATTTCTGAAAGCAAGATATATCCTACCTGGTTAGTTTCAACCAATAAAAAAGTAGACATGACTATTTTGTTTCTCCAGCTCTTGTATATAATCCATCATGTTTTATTAGAAAAACTATTTTAATCTGCTATAACTTCAATGGTAAGTATACTATTTTAAGAAATAAATTTCATTATTTTCATTTAGATCAATTTCAATGACAATGAGACAAGATAAATATTATTTTATAAAATAAATTATATTCTTTTTATTTAGATTATTATCAAATATAATTTCATTGGTAAATATAATTGAAGAAAGAATGATATTTTTTATAACGTATACGAATGTTTACAATAATTGTTATTTTCGTACCAGATTCTAAAGAAAATTTCTGAAATCCGCAGAGACTCTTGTCGTGATTCCTCAGGGAGAGATTCTATTATAAAAAATTAACTAGAGTTACTCAATCGTTAGTGTTTAAAAAAAAAACTTATAACTAGATTAATCGCGATAAAATCACCAATTTTTGTATAATTTTAATGACATGAATAGAGATCGCATGCTATTTGTCTTAAAGATCAGATAAGAATCTTTTAATCGAAAAAAAAAAAAACAATAACTCTATAAGTGACTTCATCTTGATCGTATGTTATTTTGGTCATAGTTTATTTAGAATTCTACTTTGTAATTAATCTAAGGTCTTCTATTATTTTTTTTTATTGAATGGATTTACATATCAATCAATAAGTTTCATTGAGTTCTATATGATGTAATGAAGTGTCACACACAAAAATGTTTATCTACTGATTTTCATCGAGGTCAATATTAATTCAATTATTGAGCGAACACTAATGTAGCTTTTCGCATTCTTTTCATCTATCGTTTCTTTGTTGAATGATATGTACTGTACATTATAGAGATTAACAATTGTTAATCTAGTTTCTGACATTATATACTTTCAAGTTCCGATCTCGATCATCCTACTTCAAGCTCAGATCAAAATTGATATAATCGGTTTGATTTGATATCATATAATGCTATACAAATGAAAATGTTTCGCCTAACATAGCCACATTATCAATGTATATGTAGCCTGTAAAATACCGATTTATAATGTATTTAAGATATTTTATAATACGAACATAGCACAAATCAGAGATTGTTTATGAATTATTTTAGGTCGTAAACTATGGCGTTTTGATTGATTCGAATATGAGAGAAAAGAAAAAAGAAAGGGAAAATTCTTGAAGTCAGAGTGTCATATAAAACTGTATGATATTAACTTGGTCAAATTCGAATTCATTATACACTATCTTAGGAATAGAGAACATTAAGAACAGTTCAGTCTCGTTCGCTTGAATCACGAACCTATGATTTGTAGTCATTTAATACAGCTATTTTCGCTATAAAGTTAATCGAATTTAATCTAACCAATCAACAACTGTGAATATATTTTATATAATCATAGGTTGACCAGATGTAGCTTTCTTTTCTTCTTGATTTATAGAACTCATAGTGATAAGAACTATCATATATCATAATTCCTCTGCAATACAAATGATCGAGATCCAAATGGTTTCTTTGACTTACACTTCTAAGTCGGTACATATGCTAAAGATTTCAGATATGTAATTTTAAGGATAACGGAGATCGAAGAGTGAGATAATTTCGTTGATTAGTGTATTTCTTTATTAAGGCTTACAATGGTATTTCAAAATAGTATTTGGTCGTATTTTTCTGATGAATAAAACCTCTGACAAGTTCTCACTCACCAAGAAGAAAACCACTTCAACTGATGACAGCAGACTGAAGATATTGAGGGTTTTTATCTTCTAGTTATCTATGGGTTACCCTGCACATGCTATTATTATAGAAGTCAGTAACTAAAGTCATCTACCATCAATCTACTAAAGAAAAGAACAAATAACACCCGCATAGACTAACAATAATAAATAAATAAAAACCAAGAACTCAATATATACATGATAAATAGGAACACTTTGACATTGTAAAGTAGTTTGAATAAAATAAATTTCATTTTCTCAATATCTCAAACAAGATAACTTGTCTTAACAACATATAGAATAATAATTCAAATATTAAAATAAATCTTTTCTCTAAATCGAATGACTCTATTCATACAAATTATGTACGATTAAAAAGAAAATTCATAGCATTAGTATTCATTCACGAGAATGAAAAATAACTATAAATACATAAATCAACAATCTCAAACATATATAGAAAGGATATTTGCTTCATTCACACCTACTCCCCCTATTCACTAGAAATCGTGGTTTTTCTTTAAAAAAAATTGATTTTGATTCAGTTTGGTAATCCTCAATGTCTAATACGATTTACTAATTTGATTATGCTCTTTTACAATTTGTTTTCTGTAATGTTTTATTAAGAAAGAAAGGCAGACTCCAAGGCCAAACATTATTCCGCATTTTTCTATTTTTTCCGGTTTTGTGTTAAATATTTATTTAGCCGGTTTACATGCTAGATAGCTCAAGAGAGTTTTAAACTGAAGAGAAAATTGCGCTCTATAATTTATCAGAGCTAGAGTTCCTATTTTTTTTGAAAAAAACAAAAGACATCCTGATTTTTCAAACTTTTCAAGAGAAAATTCATCAAGAGTAAAGAATCAATATTTTGAAATATTGGACTCTGCTAAATTGTACCGACTGGTCTTCAGTACATTTTAAAATCAACCCAAAATCTGTATCATTAGGTTTCAATGAGACATCCTTGTCACATGAAGACTGACTTTTTAACTCTTAATATCATCGCAGCTCATGAACAATTCAATATTTTAGACTGAAATTTTTCCTGTGAACTGTTAAACACCCCCCCCCCAAAAAAAAGATTTGATTTTGTTCTGCGATAATTAAAGGTTTCAGACAAGTAGTGCCCATCGGGTTCATACACACACAGGTAGAGTGAACTTTAAACATTGTAAATATTTTTTTTTCTTTGTTCTTCTTTATACTATTCTTTTTAGAAAATAAAAATAATAAAATACAAACTTTTTTTTTTTATAAACGTTTTGAATGTCATTCAAAATAGAACATTGATCACGAATAAATTGGTTCTTTGTTAATATAAGAAATAAACATATTTTTCAAATCAATCACATTAGATTTGAGCAAAGCACAAAGCAACAACTAATGTTTTTTTTTCACTAATTGTTTTTTTTCAATATGAAGCAATAGCAACATTGACAATATACAAAAAACTAGCAATATAATAATTTTCATTTTGATTTTTGTTGTTAGTTAAAAACTGTCAAATTCAGCTGGATAAAGTTCTACGGTAGAATGTGTCATAGGTTTTTCATCATATTTTTCAAAATGATCTTTGTCAGGTTTAGGTACATGTGATGGTTTAATACGTTTTTCAAATAAAGCAATCCAATTCATTGTTGAAAACCATTTATGATATTTAATGTCTTTTGTACCATTTCTTAAATTTCCATAACGTTTTGTTAAATCTGTTTGAAGTAAATTACGAACTAAATCTTTAAGTTCACTTGAAAAATGTGATGGAAATTTAAATTTTCCTTGAACAATTTTTTCATAAATTTGTATTGGTTGATCAGCATAAAATGGTGGAAAACCCTTTTAATTCGAAACAAAAATGATTTAATAAAAAAAAAGAAAACATTAAACAAAAAATTTTATTTATCTTACTGCAGCCATTTCATACATTAATACACCTAACGCCCAATAATCAACACTTTTATTATAACCACGTGATAGAATTATTTCCGGAGCAATATACTAAAATTAATAAACAATTTAAAATTATTTGAAATCAATTGAATATTTTTCTTGTTAATTAAATTTTTATAAGAATATAAAATTAATAAATAAAATATTAGTGATATTATAAAGTTACGTTGATTTTTATCATCATTTCTTGTTAAAGAGGCAAAAAAATCATATCGCTTTAGAATTTTTGAAAACTAAATTAGCTTATCACTAGTTCAGATCTATGATAATATATTCATAAGAAAAAAAAAGGTTTCAATCTCATTAAAATGTTTTTGTGCTTGATAGCTATCAATGTATCGATGCGAGTACATATTTTCGAGGTTGCAAAATAAAATTAGAAGATCATTATTATGATATGATATCAGTACTTTGATATTTACCTCTGGTGTACCACATAATGTATATGTTCGATCTCGAACGACTTTAGCAAAACCAAAATCAGTAATTTTTAAATATCCATCAGCTGAAAAAAGTATATTTTCTGGTTTTAAATCTCTATAAAGAATACCTATGTAAAAGAAAAATAAAGAACCAATAAAAATATATACATATAAATGAAATTAAAAATAAACTAACTTAAATAATGTAAGTATTCAAAAGCTAATGTTACTTGAGCTGCATAAAAACGTGTTTGATCTTCTGAATATTTACCTACACTTCTACTCAAATAAATCAATAATAAAGAAAATAATATGTATATTTATATTATCAATTTATCATACCGAAGATGTGTAAACATTTCTCCACCACTAGCAAATTCTAATGCTATATAAAGATGTGAATTATCCTTGAACGAATGAATTAAATTAACAAGAAATGGAAATTTAATTGCTTGTAAAATTTTTTTTTCAGATAACGTATGTTCAATTTGTTTTAATTTAACAATTGTTTGTTTTTCCATAACTTTTAATGCTAATGATTGATTACCACGTTGAACAATCATAACACGACCAAATGAGCCTGTGCCAACAGTGCGTTGTAATTTAAAATCATCTAATTTAGTTGTTTGTTTCGCCGGCTGTGAAAATTTGACATCAAAGTCTTCTTTAGCACGTTCAAGATAGGCAGTAACTTGAGCATCAATTTGGGCTTGGCTTGGAGTTGACATAGTATTACTTGTTGTAGATGATGCTGAATTATTACCCATCGTTGCTTTGTTTTTTTTATATTTTTTTTTTCTCTATATCTATTATGTCTAATATAGAAACAAAAAGACTTAATGGCCTTGTATTCTCCTGAAGACTTCAGCCAAAAGTAGGACTGTAAAAATAGAAAAATGATAATGTTACTTATGTTATGTTGCAAGTTTGATTGTTTCGACAATCAGTCTTACTGAAAAATAAACTGTCCATCATGCAAAAAGAAAATACTTTCAAGGCTAACATAAGTTCCCTAATTGTCATATTACTCTGGTATTCATCTAAGAAAAAAAGACAGATATTTTTTTTTTCTATACACTAAATGTAGTTTGTCTCGTAGCGCTCTATCCCTTTGCCTGTCGTCTGTCTATTTATCTATATTGAGTTTTGCTGTGTTGTTTTGTTCTGTCATGTTCTTATACGTCAAAATGCCTTGGATAAGATGCTATCACCCATTAATATATTACTCTAGTCGAGCCATAATCTCTTTTTTTGCATCAAGTATTTCTTTCTATCGTCTTTTTTTTCCATGTTCCTGTCGTTTAATCGATAACACATTGTCATCATCGAAACTCATCGCCTTGCCAAATATATATGTGTGCGTGTGCACGACGAACGAATATATAATAGAACTCATTTTATTTATTTCAGTGCACTTCGTATCTTATTATTAGCTTGATACATTACGAATAAATAGTTGATAACATTACAATAAATTATAAATGAGACATAAAAAAAAACATCAACGATTATTTCAGAAAAGGATATGTGTGATAATAGATATGAACTATTACTAAAATAATAATACAAATAAAAAAACATGAATATATCTTTACCGCAACAGAAAACACAACGATAATCATTGTCTAACTTTTTAACTATTTTTTTTATTGTTAGAAAGAACAAGTGATAAAAAGTCATATATTTTAAATCAATTGAACACGTTTGCATTATTGATAGGATTAGAATGCAAGAGGGAGAAGAAAAAAAAAAAAAAGAACATTTCCTTCTTCATATTCATTTTTTTTCTTTTAGAAAAAAAAATTCATTTAATAGTCTCTTTTTCTTTGTCGTTCGTCTTTCGATAGCTCTTCATGTATTTCTGATGCTAATAGTGAGTTTATCTCTCTTACATATTTATTTTCTATCATAAACCATTTTTTTCTTCTTCCTCTTCTTCTTTTTCTCTTGATTTTTGTTGATATATAACTGTCTGACAATTCATTGTGATTAACTCGAAGAAAAATAAACACTCTTCTGTTATTGTCACACGATTTGTTGATATCAACAAAGATAATAATGAAAATTGGATTCATAATCAATTAGCTGCTCGAAAAAGAAAATATACAAAACAAATGAATAACGGAAACTCAACATAATGACAATGATAGAATACGATTTTGATTATGATAAATGGTTAGAAAATTGATATGATCTATCTAATGTATTTTGGCTACTGTTGTTATTTTTTTTTTTCTGCATACCTGATCGTAAAAAGATTCTCTTGACCTTGATGCTAATTATGTGTTGACGAAAAACAAAAAAAAAAAAACGTTAATTTTATTCAGCTAAAAAAAAAAAGCAATATAAAAAGGAATGTATGTTGTTTATAGAAGATTCTTTCTGATAAATAAACCTAGAAAAATAATAATATATTTATTTGTTTCTATTTTTAGCTATATTATTGTCTAAATTTAAGTATGATTATATTCACTGTCGTTCAGTTGAATATCACGTACACATGTTATTCAAATGTTTTAACAATAAATAAAAATATATTATAATATATGTTTATTTGCTAGACAAGAAAGATATTTGTCATGTCCTGTTGTCTATATTATTATAAATTCATATTTATTGTTGAATTTATTTAGAAAAAAAAAAAAAGAGAAATTTATTCTTTTCTTTTTATTTTTCAATCGTTTATTATTCGATATATTAAAATTCACAATAAAAAAAAAAAAAAAAGGTATCAATGTTTAAATTAATAATTAACCACGGGATTTCTTTTTCTTATGTCCTTCTAAAGAAATAAAAGAAAACTAAAAATAACAGAACATTTTTTTCTTTCATACCTAAAATCATTTGTTTGTCATTAAATAAATCATCAATTGAATGACATCTTGAAAAGAAAATTTAAAAAAAAAAAAAAAAAAACATCTTTTTATATTTATCTTTCATTTTAAATAAATATAAACATACTTTTTCTTTGATTTATATTTTGAACAAATATCAAATTTCAAACAACATACAATTAAACCCATTAGAATAACAATAAACATAGCAATTATTGATTGAATGCCTTTTGAACTTACTAGAAAAATCAAAGAAATTTTGTTCTATTATTCAAATATAATATAAATTATTTTATAATAATTTACATTTATCACATTTTCGACCACAATATAAAAAATTACATCGACATCGATATGTCAATCCAATGTTCATACATTCACCACCACGACCACATACATTTTTTGCGTAACAATGATTTTGAACTGAAATAAACATATAGTAACAAAAACAATAGATATAATTTATCTGTATGATCTTTTCCAAAGACTATATTAGGATCTTATTTAGTAATAAGAATCGATGTAGATGTTCTAGAGAACACATACTGTCGTCTGATTTAAAAAACCTTTTTGTGAGAAAACAACTTGAACTGTTGCGCGCTTGTTTAAGTTCATATTAGATCGACAGGGACGTTCTGATAAGACTAGCAAAAGTGTAAGAATGCTTTTCTTCATAGGTCTGTAGAGCCGAGTGAGCTTTCAGTATAAACCGTAACATTAAAAAGCAGAATTTTTCCTGCATGTTGATTGAATGACCAACCTGTAGACTATCCTAAAAGTTTCGACTGAAAAGGATGTTTTTTCATTTTGTCGAGATATTGAATTTCCGACTCGATTTTTGCATCATACTTGTAGCAAACGATTACCTTTTTGAAAATTCGATATTTCAACAAAAGAACACATTCTTTTCAATCGAAATTTTTAAAATATTCTACAAGTTATTCGATCCATCTCGTAGCATAATTTCACATCGAAAGTCTGTTTTTTTTTGGTAGATACTTATCTGAAGTTGATTCATTATAAACTCAAATGATGAGTATCAATTCAAGCAGTTTCCTATTTAGTCTTTTTTTGTTCGACCTGAAAACTCATATGTTTGAAGTAGAGGTATGTAGTATTCTGTGGAGTCTATCAAATCCGATGGGCTCCACTGTTCTGTAAAACGGTAAGCAAAGTTTTCAAGAATATTTACTCCGCCCTAATCTCTCTTTTTATATGCATGCCGAACGATCCCGACTTTATCATACCAGCTGTTAAATTCCAATGCTCGGGCTTTAAAAAAGAATGTGTATCAAACAGTAAAAGTTGAAAGAAGAGCTTTACTTATTGGCAAGCTCTTTCTGTATGACTCATTTGTTGAATGTATAAAATAAAATCATAACCAATGCTCATTAAAAAAAACTATCTTAATAGCAAATCGATCTAATTCAAAACTTAGTAACGAGCATCATATTTAAATTCCTCTTAAACCTAGATTTTTAAATATTTAATTACAAAATAAGTTAAGATTAAGACAAACACTTGATAAGAATAATCTATATAAAGTTATATCTTGCATAACTGAATTTTTTCTTTTGTGATATTGTTCATATTTGTGTGTTCAGAAATGAAAAAAAAAAAAACTTTCTCCAGTTACTATTAAACATAAATATCCACACTGCTTCTCCAAGCTCGTTTTTTTTTTCAGCGCAGCACACAATATCATGTCAAGAGTCTTGTTCTTTCAAGAATATTGATGACTTTTTTTTTAGAAAGAAACTCTTCAAAAAAAAAAAAAAAAACGGAAATTTCAGTTGAGAAGAACTCTTTACCTCGTATTTGTCTCAAGTATGTAATTCTAAATATTCTTTCGGATGTAAACACACTATTCAATTATAAAACTCTACTATCTATTAACGAGAGCAATTTGTAATTTAATAGAAAAACAAAAGTTCAAACTGACCTAATATTTCATTGATAAGAAAAGATATTTAATTAATTATAATAATAGTTTTTTTTTGTTTTAATTTCTTACCATATTTACAAATAAATCGTTCTTCATCATTAAAACAATCTCTTCCTTCTATCCCAACTTTAGTTCGATTAATTTGTTTAATTATTCCACAATGTGATGTATCTGGTCTATAAGAATAAAATAAAGGTCCAAATATAGAATTCCAAAATGTTCGTCCATCAAGCCAATACCATTGACCAATATCATTTGCATTTAAACCAATAAATGCTTGATTAATACGTAATGGTTTTAATAAATTTTCCACAACAAAATCAAGTTCATCAAGAGTTTGAAATGTAACTAAAGATGAATTACGTATTTTCAAACAACTATTTGATGCTGATAACCATGTTGATTTATTTGAAGATAAAAAATAACATGAATCACGATAAAATTGAAAATCAGGATGACAAACTAAAAGAATTTATTAAGAAAAAAAAAAAAAATACTCATATTCAAATAGAAAATATTAACCTGAAATACTTGTATTATATAAATGATTTTGAATTGCTTGTAGAATATCATGAAATTCTGATACTGAATAAATAAATAAATTTTAAAATACATAAAAACAAATATATATATTTAAGGCAAGAGAAAAAAAAACACAAGTACCTAAATTATTTTTTAATCGATTATCATCAGTAGTTTTATTACTTATTGTATGAATTAAATCAACTATTTTATTACTAAAAACAGGTTGAATTATTAATAACAAGATGATTAAAATGAAGAAATAAAATGATGTAATTCGTTGTTGTATTTTATTTATCATTTTGATTGCACAATATATCTCAAAAAAAAATGAGTTTGTCGTTTGACCATTCATGATCGAATGAACTCATTCATATAACCTTAAAGAGAGACAGCAAGAAAAACGAAAAGAAAGAAAGAGAGCAATCAACCATGACCTGTAATATTTCAAAAAGAAAAAAGAAAAAGACAAATGTTCATACAGATGTTCTCATTCAAGATATATCATTTGATGTTTTCTGTTAAAAGGTCATTTGGAGATGACCAAAGGCTATCTACATATAAGAATAATGGTCAAGGTGATAAAACGAGGACATATGAACAATTCATCAAGAATTAAATAAATGAACATGGACTATTGCATGTTTGTCTGATGTAACTATATACTGATCCTTCGCTATTCGGTTCTTTTTTTTTTTTATACATTATTTAAATATCATTCATTCACATCTAATTATTGCATAAGTATGTCGGACGTTTTGAAATCTGATCTCGATATTTCATGACTATGAACTAATTGAGTCTGTCATTTAGAGTTTTTTTTTTCTTCTTTATTCATATAATACAATACTAAATAAGCGAAACGAAAAAAAAACAAAACAGAAGAAATTCACCGGATTTTTACAAAAACAAAGTATTTGTTTCTATTTTAAAATTTTCTTGGTAATGTTTGTGATAAACCAATTTTATCAAATATACGTTCTAATGTTTTTGATTGATTAATTTTTGTAGAACATAATCGATGTTTTCTATAACGTTTTAATTGTTCATTATGAATTAATGTATATGCTAATGCCCAACGAAAACGTCTTAATTGAGATAATTTTTCATTTTCATATGTTTGATTTATATTTTCCATTGTTAATTTTAATTTTAATTTTCTTATATCAATAAGACGTTGTCTTATAATATCAATAAATACATTTAAAACAGGATGTCGTTGATTTCTTTCAATATGAAAAAAACTAACATAAGATGCATATGATGAATCATACATTTCTAAACCTCGTCCATATGCTGAATAATCAAGACGTGCAAAAAAGATTAATGTACAAAAAATTCCTTTTGTTATTCGTGATAAACACATTATAAAACCAAGAAAACAATCGAAAAAAAAACTAAAATATGAAAATGTATAATAAAGACGAAGATTACGTAATGCAAGTAAATGATTATTTTGTATAAATAATAATTTACATAAAAGACGTACAAATAATAATTGAAATAAAAAGAATATTATCATTGGTAATAATAATTTAGATATAAATTCCAAAATAATTAATGAATAAAATATATAACGAGAAAGAATATAAAATATTGATATAAATAAAAATAAAAATCCATAACTGTAAATTAATGAACCTATAAATAAAAATAAATATCATATGAAGAAATATTTGTTTTTTTTAGTAAAAGTTAGAATAATATTAGATTTAATTCCATAGGAAAGTCCTGGTATTGGTTGACAAAACGAAATGAATTCTAGGACAGTTTAGTATAGATGTACGTCCGTTTATCTGTTTCAGAACATCATACCCGAGAGAGAAAATAATTTCTTTGATTAGAAATATAACAGAGTAGGGATATAAGATCAGGGTGACGATATGACAAATACATATCTCTATTCTCTGATTTATTCACTTATTTCATAATTTCCAAGAAGCCTGAAATATTTTTTGGGATATATTTCTTCACTATTCTCTCATTTAGTCCTCTAGAAATGCAACAAGCAGTTCATATATTATATCAAATCGTTATCGATATACGTTCGTTGACGCAGAAACAGTGTAAATTTTTACGGCTTTACTTCAACACTTCTTGTGAATCGTGTTTTTCAAGATTTCAT